TGCACTTTAATCTTTTCTCTCTAGAGCCAGCTCCATGTACGTTCCATGAGACAAACCTTAGTGCACCCATAGATGTGTGTGTGAGTAGTGTGTGAGTAGCTAGAATATGACACCTTCATGTGAATAAGATGGAATAAGTAACTAAATGTATAAAATGGTACATTAATAAATAACAGAAAAGTAAGTAATAATAATAAAGATCCAACAGTGTTTGTGGTTGTATTATTTGATGCATAAATTATGATATTGTGCTGTGAATTATATATACATTATATATATATATATATATATATATATATATATATATATATATATATATATATATATATATATATATAGTACACCTGCGATGGACTGGCTCTCTGTCCAGGGTGTACCCCGCCTACTTGCGTGTATATAATGAAAAGTAACTCTTCAAAATAACTTCCCAATCTCGGAAAGCGGCGTCTTTGGATGAAAAAGAATTTGGTTTGCTCTAACTAGAAGGTTGTCTTCAGAAGCACATTCTGACGCAATGTCCTGTGTTCTACCTCACCCCTTTGATGACCCTCGTCACGGATCTGGAGATCACAGAGGTCGGATGACCATGGGGCACCCAGGTCCGGTAGATTGACCACAAGCAGCACAGACTTCTCCGGTCCAAAAGATATCACCAGGCAGCACAGGTTGGAATCAGCTTGCGTCTCAGGAGTAACTCTTAAGGAGTTGAACAATATCAGCTTTGTTCTGCTGGAACTGTTTGCTCATCAGCTTTGCAGGTGTCACGAAAAGAACTCAGAAGACCTGTGAAGACACCAAACACAGTAAAAGTAGATAAAAAGTCTTTTATTTTTTTGTGGAGTTACCAGAGGTGGGTGGGGCTGGAGACAAAGTAGAGGACAGGCGAATGTCGTGGTGGCAGGCAGAGTTCAAGGCAGGAGTCAGGAGCGAAAACGAGGTCCGGAGGCTGAGATCAGGCAGGGTGAATGGCTGGAAGATTTACTTGCGTGAGCTTTCAATAATCTGGCACTGGATGACTGGATGGCTGGTTCTTTTGTAGCAGGGGAAGCAGGTGTGAGTGATGAGCTGAGGAGTCAGGAGCAGGTGAAGTGGATGAAGCTGGTTGTGGTTGCCCGGGAAACAGGGCTTGTAAGGAGCTTGGTGAGGGAACAAGGTGTGCTGCATAAAGGCTGAATGAAGAGGCAGAGGAGCTCGGTGAAGGATAGGGAGTCATGACAGAACCCCCCCCCCCCCCCCCCCCCCCCCCCCCCAAGGGCGGATACAAGACGCCCACAGGAAACCAGAGCAGGGCGGGAGGAGGGGGACAAGGAAGGAGGGCCAGAAGTGTCTGGGGGGCCAGTGACGGGGAACCAGGAGCTGGGACTGCGGGAGTCTGGGGATAGGAGACGCTGGAGGACGAAGACTAAGAGGGGACTCTGGAAACTCTGGAGACTAAGGGGATGAAGACTCTGCAGGCTGGACCGGAACCTCATGGATGGGCTGGACCGGAGCCTCTTGGACAGGCTGGACCGGATGCGGTGCGATCTCCGGGACCACCGTGGGAGCAGGATGCGCCACGACCTCCGGGACCACCGCGGGAGAAGGATGCGGCGCGTCCTCCGGGACCACCGCGGGAGCAGGATGCGGCACGTCCTCCGGGACCAGGATGCGGTGCAACCTCCAAGGCCACCGCCGGGACAGTATGTGGAGCGTCCTCTGGGACTACCGACGGAACTGGATGATGGGCGAGTGGGTGGTGCTTAGACGGAGGTTGTTGGCGACGGTTCCAGCGTCGTCGTCGGGTGGAGGTTGAGACGACGTCTACAGGAACAGGGGGAGAGGAGAGGAAACCGGATCTGATGGGAGCAGGGGAGTAATGATGACTCAGGACAGACAGAGTAGATATGGATGAGGCGACTTGATGTCCTGGGGATGTGGAGTCGGAGGCATGAACAGGAGATGAGCAACGGCCAAAGGTCTCCTGCAGATGGCTGGCAAACTCCCAGAAGGACACAGATCCGGACTGACGCACAGAGATATAGTCCATAGCCCACACCAGGGCGTTATCACCCAGATTCGATATCATGAAAGAGACTTTTTCATGATCCCAGGAAGCCAGGTACAAGTAACGAGTGCAGGCTTCAATATAAGTCCGGCAAGTCTCTGGGTCTCCACAGTATCTGTAGAGGAGAGTTGTTGTGTAGTCCAGGATTCTGCTGGATCCATAACAGGTTAGATAAAAAGAAAGAGAGGAAAAAAACCTCCCAAGGACTGTGTCGACGTCGGGTCAGACTTTTGGCCAGATTATTCTGTCACGAACAGAACTCAGAAGACCCGTGAAGACGCCAAACACAGTAAAAGTAGATAAAAAGTCTTTTATTTTTTGTGGAGTTACCAGAGGTGGGCGAGGCTGGAGACAAAGTACAGGACAGGCGAAGGTCGTGGTGGCAGGCAGAGTTCAAGGCAGGAGTCAGGAGCGAAAACGAGGTCCGGAGGCTGAGATCAGGCAGGGTGAATAGCTGGAACATTTACTTGCGTGAGCTTTCAATAATCTGGCACTGGATGACTGGATAGCTGGTTCTTTTGTAAGAGGGGACGCAGGTGTGAGTGATGAGCTGATGAGTCAGGAGCAGGTGAAGTGGATGAAGCTGATTGTGGTTGCCCGGGAAACAGAGCTTGTAAGGAGCTTGGTGAGGGAACAAGGTGTGCTGCATAAAGGCTGAATGAAGAGGCAGAGGAGGGTGAAGGACAGGGAGTCATGAGAGCAGGTGCAAAAAGGTTTTGATGGCGTGTCAAAATCTTTGATAGTTAAAGAGATATGCTAAAGATGGCCGGTCTGAAGTTTTCTCTAGAACTCGCAAATTACTCAAAGCGATTTGGTTTTAAAGAATTGATGTTATTATTTTCACAGCCAATCAGAGGCTGACAGGTTTTAGAGATGTTACCAAGACAACTCAGAAACAAACCCTCTTTGATATGGAGGCTCTGATCTGGGTAAAAGGTTAGCAATGTGTACTGTATTTAACTTAGCTGTACTTGTTATTATGTGGAGCAGGTGTGAGGACCTTGTCGTCAAAACATGGTGAACACATTGCAGGTTCTATTAGACAAACATACTGTAACATCCATTCAGTGAGCACAGATTAATGAAGCATTTCATTATACTATAATTATTATAAGTAGTAATCAACAAATATTTATTTAATGATTATCTAGATTATAAGTCATAGAAGAAGTTATTAAATCGTTCTTGAATTTAGCAATTAATTCGAGCTGGATCTTCTTTCTTCTGGAGGCAAACAGATGAGACCTTGGGAAAGAAAGTAATTGTTTATGATTCAGACTTGCAGAGTCTAAATCCCAGCTGTTGTGATGGCTCATTTAAAGGGAACACATATATTGTGTCTCCTCTCTGACCAGATGTTGAATAGATGGTAAAAGGTCAGACTGTACCCAAACTGACCATTGCTGGACGCTACGCAGCCTAGCTTGATAGTCTTTTCTCTGTCAAAGCAGAGTGCAAATAGGTCTTTATGAGCCCGAGGGTTGAAAAACATGGATTTTTCTTGAATTTATAGCTGCCAGCTGGGGTGGCAGCAGGGGTAGCAATGCCAGTAGATCCTTCCCTGACTGTACGTACTGTAGAAAGGGGTCATGCTTGTGAGAAAAACATTTCCTCAAAATGTAACTTGCTTGAAGGTTTTTTCCCCCTAACAAACACTGTTAATAAATGCATTTGGGGGAAAAAGAACCAAAACGAGAATTCCAAAGTATTAACCAGGATTTGGTGACATTTTCAAAATGTTATGACCCAAAATAAAACATTGCAGAGACTCAAATTTTCACCACACACCAAAACAAAAAGCTAGCTATGCTAATGGGGCTAAACCTGGAAGTTTGTCATTAAATGTCTTCATTTTCCTTATTTTGTGGTTTTTGACAGTTGTCATTCAACTTAAATGTACATTTCCACCAGCCATAAGATTGCAGTCTCAAAAAGTAAAAAGTATTTGACTAATAAACTCCACATAACTTAATAACTTCTCTAGTCACTTATTTGAAGTAAATAAAGACTATTTAATGGGTTAAAAATTATTTCTAAGGCCTTGAAATACAGACTAAAGACACATTTCTAAGTCTGACCAAACAGGTTTGACCAATAACTTAATTTAAAAATGTTTTCAGGGGAAGACAAAAGCTTTCTGAAATGATTATTGTGTATAGTTCTATTTATGTTTTCTCTAAGCAGCCCTGAGGACCAAACAATACGTTTTGAACGGTGCCATTTTTATTGTTACATGTAAGGCCTGAGTGGGCCACCAGAGGACGATGCTCTTTAACTTTTCCACTTACTGACCTTTGATAAGCAAAATAAAAATGTAACAATTTTTTCGGCCACCAGAGAGCAATGCTTCATGAAACCCTGTAATAGATCTTACTTCTACATCTTAGAAAGAACATGAATATTTAAAAAGGTAATTAAATAAATACTATTATATAACTGGGGAAGTTATCACGCATTATGTTTGATTTTTTATTAAACTAGAACCGCCCAAAAGCCACAATGTCTAAAAGGTAGCTACATTAATATTTTTTTGTATTGCACTTTTAGTACCCTCTTTTGTTTTTATTGTATTTTATTATTAAACATTGTACTTCGTTTTGTTTATATGCTACATCTTTACGTTATCGTGTCATGTTATTAAAGAAAAAGTGCCTTTGTTAAAATTAAAGTTATCAAAAAAGTAACTACAGACACCTCATAGCACTCACCAAGATGGCGGCACGATGACACTGAACGACACGGAACCAATCAAATCAATCAAATGAAAAAATGATGATGAATCAATCAAAAAAATGTGTCCATAGAACACCAAATTAAATATAAGTATTAAAATAAGCAAAGCCGACAAAAAAGTATAGAATTTGTAAAAACAAATAGAACATATATCAACAAAAACCAGTGTGTTTTTATGTATGGACTTTGATATCAATATAGATGTCTGACGCACAGTCTGACGGACATGGGGACGCATTTTAAGAGTGCACCAGCTGTTTCCGGCTGCTCCAGCAGGAGTTCTCTTTTGGGAGTTCTGGGTGTGTTAGCATGTCGCTGGTAAGTCCACTTGTCATTCCTTATATTATTGACACGAGCAAATAACTCACTATTATTAGTAACAGGGAGCATGTTCGCTGATACCCAGACGTGAAAGTTAGCTCATTCACCGATATTTATTTTATTATTATGGCCGTGGGGCGGATTTTAGCTGTGTTTATGCCTACGCGCCAACAGGAGGTACGCACAAGCTGTTGTTTAGCTAAGTCTAGCCTAGCTTGTTTTCTTGTGTGAGCTGTCGGAACAAAGGTTTGACTGTTTTATGGGTGGACTCTGGCTTGTCGAGGCACAGTTTACTTTGTGGGTGGGTCGCTGACAGATCCACATCAGTCCCTACAGACTGGTTCCTGTTCGTCTGATTCCTCTGGATAAAGAACCACGATGAGCTTTGAAGGCTATCACAAAAACAGTCTGTGTTTTAAAGCTGTTTGCTGCGTGTGAGCCTCGTTTTTCTGTCCCCCTCACAGGCCACCATGGTCCTGTGTTTTTCAGAGCTCCGGCTGAAAGACTCGGGTCTTGCTCACCTCTTCTGCCTCCTGCTGCTCATCGTCAGCATCCCACTTCTTATTTCTACTGGGGAATCGGCACCTGTGAGCACCCGGGTCCATTTCATCACCGCACAAGAGAACTGCACCTCTGGATGTAAGTGTGAGCTACAATATAGTGTAAAAACTCATTGATCGCCCAACAGCATCATTCTGATGATGAAATGACGATAAGCATTATGGGGCTCCCAGGGGCAGATAAGAGTTGGTCTCTCTCTGAGAATAATTATGAATTTAACAATGATTACTGCCTGATGACATTTTCCCACATCTGCAAATCTCACTGGAAGGACACAAACCGAGGACAATATTTTCCTGATATAGGGTTTATTACTCAAGTAAGGGTAAAAAAAGTATCTGATTAGAAGGCTACTTGAGTACTGAGTATCATCTGATCTAATATTTTTAAATGATGACATCAAACAGACAAAAAATACGGGTTATGGGCAAATATTGGTATTTTAAAGACTAAAGGGAAAAAAATGTAAACAAATAAACAACATAATTACAAAATAACACATTTTAGGCAAAATTTAGACACAAACTGAGGACAATATTTCCTGACATACAGGGTTTATTTAATTGTGTGAAAATGTAGCACGTTTAAAAAAAATACCGTGATAATACCGAAAACCGTGGTAATTTTGGTCACAATAACCGTGAGGTTACATTTTCACACCGTGACAACCCAATCACACTGCAGTGTTTTATCATGACTAATCCACTAACAGAAGAAGTTTGTGATTTTGTTGAATATAGTCATCATTAATTACAGGCCTAGTTTATACTGAAGTAGCTGAACAGCTCAGCCAACGTTGGGACTAAATAACTAAAATATAACCAAATGTTGCACGTGCCAGAGCGTAACAATGTATTAAACATTTAGTAAACAAATTAACAAGTTTAATCACCTCTGAAGCATGCAATCCTGGAAAAACCTCATTCAACTGTTGTGCATGTCCAGTTCTCAATGACTGGATCTTATCCCACCCCTCAAACCTCCCCACTAAACCCTCTGTGTACATGAATCGTGCGTTCTCAGCTATGAGCCTTTAGATTGTGTATTTTTAAAAGTAGCCTGAACATATTTTTTCCGTAAAGCTGAGCCAACCTTTAACTGAAAGTATTGTTGCTGCTTTGCAGGTAATAACTCTGCCGGACGGATTTCAACAGCGGAGGAGCCCCCTGAGACCATTTCCAGTGATGTCACAAGCACACAACACCAAAGCTCTTCTCCAGGCTTTAATGCTGCACCTACTAACCATTCCTCAGTCCTTCCAGAAGCTAACAAAAATGAAGGAGAACTTCTAGTAGATTCAAACACCACTTCAGACCTGAACCACACAACAGGGACGACATCTTCCCTCAGCCCAACTGAAGGGATGTTTACAACATCATCAGCTCTTCAGCAGCAGCTACCAACCGGCCACCAGCCTCCGTCAGCTGCTGCTCTGCCTCGTCCTACCACCATGGCTTTGCCCACTGCTTTAACTCATAGTGGACTCAGTATGAGCCCTTCTCAGTCAGCCACTGTACCACCTGTCACCAGCACACACACATTCACCACAGCTGGGATTTCTATGGTCACAAACTCCCCCCAGTCTGCCAACCCAACAGAAACTGCATCCACTCACACCACGACAACAGAAGAGCTCCCACACCCGCCAACAACTTTAAAAGCTACCGCTAACACAAAAACGTCCCCGTCTCTGGGTGTCACGTCAGCGCCGAGTACTCCAGCCATGCAGACCACACCGCTGAACACAGCAACAGTTTTTCTAAGGAACTCTTCCTCTACCAGTCACAAGACGCCTTCGTCTTCAGCAACAAGGGTTTCTATGGTGGAGGCGGCAGGGGGTGCTCTAACCAGGCAGCTAGTGGACACAGCATCTTTAGTGGCCGTCCTGCTGTTTGGACTGCTGTTCTTCTTGGTTACGGTGGCTGTGTTTGTCACACAGGCGTACGAGAGCTACAGGAGAAAGGACTACACCCAGGTCGACTACCTGATCAACGGCATGTACGTTGACTCTGGGGTGTGAGTCGGACGGGGGCGTGGAGCTTGTTGAACCTGGTACCAGAGACTGTAGAGTGGACGAGAGGGACACACGGGAGGGATGCACCTGAGGACTCGGATCACTAATCTGACCTGTCTCAGTGAACCGTAAGCTGGAACAACACCGGCCTGCTCTATCAAACCACGGAACTTTCTCCGTCTTTTTTTTTTTTTGGTAGCAATAACGACATGCTTCCAAAGCACAAGTCATTACCTCAGTATTGTTGTTGTTTGTTTTTACATCAGGATGATGCACATAGGAGCTGACGTGGTTAGGGTTATAAAGCTGATTAGCTGAATTGGACCGATGTCTCAGTATTTAGTAGAGACGACGATCACCTTGACGACCGTGTCCCTGACTGGTGAAGCAGTATGCCCCTCTTCAAGTGTACTTACTAATAAGGAAACTGTCCCCATGGCAACAAGCCCCACCCAGAGCACTGTGAAAAGAGCAACATGGCCACCAACGTCTCTCTGCGTCAGCGGCCATGTCTCCCTCTGCTGTTCCAACCATTAGCCGTGACTTCAGACCGCTAAACATTCCTCCACATCAGTGGTCCGTTATTAAACCCTGTCCTTCTGGGTTTAGTCTGGTGAAATGGTCCATAATCTCAGATTATGAGGAACTAGGTCTGGTTGCTCATGTTATAAAGTTAATCTGGAGCAGGAGGATGCGGTCCAGGCTGAAGCGTACCAAAAAGCTTTGAACATGTGTTATTAAGGTCATCTACTGACCTTTTCTACCTTTGTTATTACGGGTTCAGGCTCCTCCTGATCCGTGGTTCTGCAGGCGGAACGCTGCTGCTCTGCTCGACACCAGAACAACCTTTCATTTCCACCAAAATAATTGGAACCCACCAGTCTTTCAGAAGTCTTCATGACAAAAACTTTTCATTCTGCGTTTCCGAACTGGAAATCTAAACTTCGTTGTTGGAGAATTGGCTGGTGGAGTTTGTGTACAAGTCCGGTTTTGCTAAACGAGAAACCATCCAGATGTTTTCGATCTCAGCTGAAACATGACAACCAGGGTCGGTGTTAGCTTAAACGTCTTCCAGAGTGCAGCGCTAGCTTTTGTTTGGGTGAGACCGACTCCAGTGGGATAAAGTCAGGTTATTCCCAGGATGCGAATGTTTCCGAGTCCAACATTTCACTGGAATTCTGCCGTCTTCCACAAACATTCCATTTTGCTGATGACGTTGCAGCAGTGTTCCTGTTTCCTTTTCCACGAGGAAACAAATTCATTTCCATGTTCATGAACTTAAGTGGAGATTCCCTGTTTTTACGTTAATTTTTAGTTTGTGATGTATTTTATGGCGTTTGTGTAAAACACTACGCATTTCCTGAGTTTTCTCTTATTTTCCATATTTGAATGAGTTTCCACAAAGACCAAGGATTGTTTTTGTTTTTAGAACAGAGTCCAGGAGCGTTGGGCGTCCTGATGCCACAGAGCTCCCAGCGGTGGTGCTCGCCTCATTCACACTTACGTTTGCTTTCTCGTGATGTTCCTCCGTTGAGTTCTCGTTGGTTTGAACTCACCCAGCCTTCTGCTGAAGCACATTCTGTTCTGATGAAGCCAAAAGGAAACATAAAGCCAGTATGAGTGTGGTGGGTGGACTGAATGCTCAGAGGGTACAAAGTCTTAACTTGTTCTGTTTTTGTGTTTCAGATTAATAACGTATGCAAAAATATTGTTTTCATGTGAAACTGGAAGCAATGCCTTTCTTAAGCCTTGATGTCTGTTGTGACTAAATGTAAACGTCTGGGATGATGTGAGCTTGTAGTCACTGGAGCAGTCCACACCTGTTTTCATGATTGTGAAAAAACACCGATGGACTTTATAGAAGATGGATCGGTGTTTACAGGATGTCAAGGGGACACCTGTCATGTGCCAACTCAATATTGTACTAATGCACTTTCAAAGTATTTTTACTTTGCAAAGAAAATAATAAAGACCAAGAATGAACTGAGCTTTGCTCGTTGGCCCTGAAGGTCAGCTGCTCTGCAGAAGGAGAGGAGGAAGGGAACACCTGTAGAAACGGTTCAAACACCTCAGCTGATCACCAATTACATGATAAATGATCCGGCCAGCAAACCAACATACACCAGTTATAAGCTGCCGGGGTTTCTGGGTTTTTATTTCAAGACGTTGCTTTTCTCTCCCATATGCACTTCCCTGTTAACCATCAAAACACACAACACAGCTAACAAAAGCCTGTTGACACAAACTATAATATCCAGTCAGTGTTGGTGTGTACTTAAGCTGTAGGATTCATTAAATGGAGACTAGGCAGTTGTTGCTTGCTTTTAGGCCCCCCCCCCCCCCCCCCCCAAAAATTAAAATCTAACTCCTCACTCTGCGTCCTTTTAAATAAGGATGGACAATATATCTGCTTCACTATCGGTATCGGCCGATGTTAGGAATTTTTTTACGTATCGGTACCGTTCGATAAATAAAACCGGGCCGATATTAACAACCAATATTTTTTCCATCTCTACTCCATTTGTTTGCCTGTTTCAGAAGGTGAGGGGGTGATGTGTAATTGTTTAGTCATGTGAACAGTAAATGAAATCATCTCAGAACCATAAATGTGTGTGTACATAACGTAAATTCAGCTTTAACAATTTTTATTCAGTACAAAATCTGCTGATTTTAGAAGTATTAATGTCAGTTTATCGATATTGGAAAATATTATCAGCCATAACAGTGATCTTAGTATCGGATATCAGTATCGGCTCTAATATTTCATATCAGTGCATCACTATTTCTAGCCCCTTAATCTAACAGCCCGAAACGTCTACTCAGACTTGGTTAGTGTCTACAGGAGTGATAATTAAACACATCAGCTGCGTTCATGATCTAAAACATGCAGGAAATGTGCTGGAACCAGCATCAGGTATTAGCTCATTTTTTCCAAGTCCCAACAGAACTCAACTCAGAAGTTGCAAGTGGGATATTCTGGGCACAGGGAGTGATTGGGGCTGGTGGTCTTTCTTCAACCCGCAACAGGTCGTTTTAGTACAAATGATTTAAAAATCACACACATTATATCGTGTGTGTGTGTGTGTGTGTGTGTGTGTGTGTGTGTGTGTGTGTGAGAGAGAGAGAGAGAGAGAGAGAGAGAGAGAGAGAGAGAACGTAAAGTATTTTAGTTCGTAGTGACGTCGTCAACCCACCGCGGCCTGCTTGCTGTCTGTGCGCGCTCCCGAAAGTCCAAAGTATAAAGAAGCGCGCGCGCTGAATCGGGGGAATAAAGAAAACATAGAGTCGGAGTCACAGCGCGGAACCAGCCACGGTACCTGAGCAGTAGAACCTATGTTTGCAGGGAAGAGTGACCTGTTTCCGACCTAAGGAGGAACGGCCGAACATGGACTGGGAGTTATGGGAGCTCTGGATTTAAAACGTAGAGGACTGGGAATGGGTGGTCTGCTGGCGGAGCTGCTGCTGCTGTGGACTGGTCTCCTAGGAGCGGCCGGTGGTATGTGGAGTTTTTATCTCAGCATGAAACCTTAACATCAACTTTCTACTCAGACGGTGAGCGTTTCCCTGCTCCTCGGTCCGGCGGCAGATGAGCTTTTCTTGTCCCAAGGGTACAACTGTAGTTTCAATGACAATCCCCAAACTTCTTCACGCGGCGATTATATCACACGAACACACACATCTGTGTGTTAGTGTGTGTTTATTGTAGGTAACGTGCGCCCAGGCCTGCTGCGGTGCAGCAGTTGGAGCTGATCTGGAGTTTGAACCCACTCTGGATGTTTTCACGGGCCTCCACAGCTCCAGCCATTTTTACACGGTGTCGGGTGTCACGTATAGCTGTTCTGTTTTAAAGATGTTTCAAGTGAAAACCAGGCTGCTGTGTCAGACAGCAGCAGAAAAGTACTTGAAGCTCACGATGTTTCCTGTTGATGAGCGTCTTAATCATGAAGTTTGATCTGATTTGCGCTCTCAGACGTCTGAAACTGCTCAGGAGGAGGCGGAGTTCCATTATTCAGATGGATCCAAGAACAGGTTTGCGCGTTCATGTGCGCGCAGCGCAACAATAAAGCGTTCAAACCATCGTCGGAGTTTATAACCGCAGATGCAGATATGCTGCAGCGCCTCTTTAAAGTCGTCTCAGCTGGACTGCGTGCTGGTGCTCAAGATCACAGGAATGCACATTTCTCCTTCGTGCCGTTTTCAGAGCTGCACCCCTGAGCACCTGGAACGGGTTTAACCCAAAAACAAAGCGCACAAGGACGCGCCTGAAACTGGCTGGGATTTGTTTTCAGTTCAACGCATTTACTTATGAGGTTTGAACAATTCCTCCCAGGTGATGAGAATGTTTGACACAGACAGGAATGTCTGGATGTGCAGGAGTGATGTTGCAGTATTTTCCAGCTGCAGCTTTACCCAAAGGCTGTTTCTGACGTTTGTTGTAAATAAAGTAGTAAAAATATAAAACATACATATTCATTTAACTCACTAAATGTAGTAATATGAGTAACTATAGTAACTAACTAGCTGTTGTGCTGAGAGAAAGGATCCAAGGCCAAACTAACACTCACTTCCTCGCAATGCTGGGTTTCGAATCCTCTTAAAGTTTTCTGAACAAGTTGGCAAAAAAGTTTCCCCTGCAGATGTTGGACCGCACACGGTGCTGCATAAAACACAAGACGTTAACCTCTTGGCGTTTTCTCAGCTGAGTAGAACTGCTCTGTTGGGTAAAGCTTTGTCTTCCTACAGCACAGCTAGGCGTTAAAGGTTATGTATCGGTGGGCTAAGGATCAAGTCTCTGCCTTTTGCAGAAGATGTGGTCCGGTGGGCTTCATCAGACTGATCCTCGGCTTTCACTGGAGCTGTCTGCAGCCCTGATGAAAACCAACTGCTTCAAAGCTGAGACCATGGTCTTGAGTCAGAAAAGGGTACAATGCCTTCTCCAGGTCAAGAATACGGTCCTGCCTCCAGCGGAGGAGTTCAGGTATCTCGGGGTCATGTTCATGAGTGAGGGAAAGATGGAGTGCAAGATCGACAGGCGGGTTGTTGCTGCGTCTGCGGTGAGGCGGCCATTGTACTGGTCTGTCGTGCTGAAGAGAGAGCTGAGCTGGAAGGCTCACTGGCCAATCTACGTTCCAACTCACTTATGGTGACGAGCTTTGGGTCGTGACTGAAATAAGGAGACTGCAGATACAAATGATTGAAATGAGTTTTCTCTGCAGGGTGTCTGGGCTCTCCTTTAGATAGGGTGTGAAGCTTGGTCATCCAGGAGGGGCTTGGAGTAGATCCGCTGCTCCTCCACATTGAGAAGGGCCAGTCAAGGTGGCTCGGGCGTGTGGTTAAGACAACTCACTGTTGAGGTTTTCTGTGCATGTTCAACCCAAATTCCATGAAATCAGGAATCCTTGAGTTGCAGATTCTGAACCTTGAGCCTCCTTGTGCAAGAACGATCTGGTTCCACCTGGAGCGGAAGCGTCACCCAAGCCGAGATGTAGCCCGGATGATGCGGACATGTTTAAGCCGATGCTTCACACGCTGAAGTACATCTTCCTGGTGGTGTTCAGATTAGAATGGAAGGAAGCCCTAGTTGAGGAATTTGCTTTTATTAAAGGGGCATTATGGAAGTTTGACAGCCAAAACATGTATAGAAATAATAAATGTCTTCTTCATACATTCTTCTGCAATGCCCTGGTCCTGTAGAATGAGCCCTAGCATTTTTACTGTGATTGCCTGTTTTTCTGTAAAATCACAGAAAAAGAGAGCTGCTCGGGTCGAGCAGGCTGCTTCATGCGCGTTCACGCTCAGGCATAGCCTGTAGAATTTGCTATCAGTGGCTTTAGCAGCAGAGAGAGAGGTAGTGCCAACTCAGCGACTTTGTCGCTGTTCCTAACGCCTAGTGATGAACCTAGCTACATTTCTGAGGACCCTTAGCTACTTTCTTCTAGATATTTCCCGCAAATTAGCAACAAAATTGCCATTTTCGCTCCGAACCGTTCTTTGAACGTTGTTTCAGCTGTCATCAACGATATAAAAGTTACAGATACAAAAGACATCACTGGCGATTTAGCTCACCTTGTAAGACATCGGACTCTCGTGCAGCAGACCTGGGTTTGATTCTGGATGTGATTTTAATTTATTTATAGTTTCTTCTTTACATTAATGGTATATTTTTTTACAGTAAGATGCCCAAATTTTTATTTAAGGCTCGCCGAACGGCATTGAATTCACAGATAAAAAAAGATGTGGGTTCAACTTTCATTTTGGAACAATTTTTCAAGCAAGGGAAGGGAATGATCTGAGCATGCAGGAGGACTGACCCATCTTAAACCTTTGCCGGCTGTGCTGAAGAGAAAGGTACAGAACCAAATTATTTAATTAATTAGCTGCGCGTTCTCCTGTCCTCTCTCCTCCGGGCCACACACACACACACACACACACACACACACACACACACACACACACACACACACACACACACACACACACACACACACACACACACACACACACACACACACACACACAAGGGAATGCCTCAGCTGTTATTTTCATTAAGGAGTGTGCACGTACAGCATGCGCGCCTCGTGCATGAGCCTACTATTGAAGCTGCCATTACGCTTTTGGCCTGAGGGTGCAATGGCGAGCATAAAAATTCAAAACTCTGTAAAGTCCCCTTAAAGTCTCCTTCTTGAGTATTTCTCTTATCCGATGGCACCATTTAGTGGCTGACAAGCATATCACACCAATAGTCTCTGGAACCATTTTTTTTAATATGGTGACTTCATGTTTTTTGTTTATAAATGTGCTTCTGTAGCCGACAAACGCAGCTAAAACACGCTGTTTTACACATATTCTCATGCCATGTTGTGTTCTCATATATTTATATTTTAAAGACTTACTTGTCCGTGAAAAGTTCATCAACTCTGCATCAGCCGAGGTATTCCTTAAATTTGAAGCATCTAAGCGTTAGTCTAACGCCATTGGTTAGTTCTGGTCGGCGCTCAGTTTCCTATTGCACGGAGCTCTGCGGGGCAGGGGCGTGGTTAGCAAAAAAAAAAAAAAGACTTATTGTACGTATCACAGTACATGATGAGATAATCACTTTTATGGATTTCTGACAAATCATACATTGTTTCTGAAAGGGGAAAATTCAGAAAAGATACTTTAAAGGGGAGCTGAGGGCAATGAAGGTCAAACTACAGAGCACTGCAGTGGTGCTCCGCTCTGATGTCAAGTGGGTTGGAACGAGATTTACGGAGATGGAGAACGAGTTGTCTACCCTGTCTGACGAGGCTGTGTCTCCTCGGAGCCTGGTGGAAGAGCTGATGAAGGAACTCTCCAAGCTACAGGAAAAATGTGAAGATTTGGAAAGCCGCTTGAGGATATGTAACGTTCAGATTATTGGAATATCCTACAGGGCTGTACGTTAACATTTTTAGCTTACAGCACTACAAAGGTTGCAGGTTTTGTAGCACAGAACAAAAGGTAGCAGTGCTTATAATTACTTAAACACACTGACAAACACTAGTAGCGCGTATAATTAAAACACAATAAGAACCACCAAAGCAGATGCTTGAGACTCACTCAAGGACCATACTTGACAATAAAGCTGATTTTGAAATATCTTCAGACACTTTTCTCAGTGTCATTTTGAAAAAAACATTTTCTTTTATTCAAATTCGTGTAGGTTTGTTCGTTACAGAGGTCCGTCCTCAACGGCATAGACATAGAAGAGTGTATGCCACGCCGATTGCTGCTGTGTATGGTAGGCGCCTTTGTGGTCTACTTATTATAAACTGGTTACCAGCGCCTTCAAGTCAGCCTCACCGTGCGCAGAAAGCTCACGCCGCACTCAAGCTGGTGGCATACATATAACGCCACAGTCATGACTGGTAGGGTCAGTGGCAGACAAACACATGAGTGCCCACTTGCATGTGCGAGCTGGAATGTTAAATCCCTAATAATTCTTTAAAATTTAGGAAAGGTTTGGCTCATTTAAAACATCTTAAATCAGATGAGGCCTTTTTGCAGGAGATGCATTTGTGCACAAGCGGCATGCTGAGGAGGGGCTCGGAGAGCGCCTGTGACACCCTAGACATTGTTCCAATACGTGGTCAATATGCCTCTGTGAATATAAGACAGAATTTTCATCTAATAGACACTTTAGATACGATATACTGTAGGTGGATTTTTTTAGTCGGAAAAGGGTAGAATGCCTTCTCTGGGTAAGGGAAGAGGTCTACACCAATGTATTTATAAAGCACCATTTCAACACAGCATGGCAGCTAACCAAAGTGCTGTACATTAAAGAGCCAGATGCTCGAACATATTAGCAAAACACAATGAAAGCATGAAAATCAGGTAAAATACATAAAAACTGCATAAATAATCAAGGATAAAAACTACTAAAAACAATAGAATAAGAGAACAGCACTATCAAAATAAAATCATGCGACGAATGATAAAAACCATTAGAAATGGCACAAATACAACCAAAAAAGCTACAAGATGGTGCGAGGTGTTAAAAGTGAATCATAAAATACTGAATCATAAAAACTAAATGAAGAAAAATAACCCCGGTGCTGGATTTTCATGTGAAGTGTCACGGGGGGAAGGCACACGTTCCACTGCTGTTTCTCACCGGTATCAGCTGATGGAGGGCTCTAGTTTCGTTGTGCCTTTCGTGTCAGCGGACACGGTGGGGGCGGGGAGGGGGGCGGGGCATGGCGTGTGATTTTTATGTTCGTGAGCTCATCTCCTCACACATTCTTACAGATCACAGAATTACGGTTTTCATAGTTTAGCTGATGGTCCAAAAAAGGTAGTTTAATTATTTTAGTATAACTCCGGTTTAACTTGGGCTATTAACAGAAATAAAAACTGGTGTGTAGTTTATAATCCGCATTTTAAACATAAATAGAAACCGAAGCTCAGAGAGGAGGAGTCTTGCTGCTGCGGCGTCCTAAAGGTGTGTTTTCATTGGTCGGTTGCAGACAGGAGTCGTAGGTTTTGAAGCATGCTTGTAGACTGTCGGAGGCTGATTTGGGTCGTGGGACAGCTCACAAAGCTGTCGCAGAGCCGGTCAGACTGGACGACCAAAGATTTGCAAATCACCCTCAATGTTTATGGTTTTTTTACATGATTATGCTCCTGATGAGGGATCAGGCTAAGACGGCCGCAAATCGCACAGTGTGATCGGGGCTTTAGAGATAGGGTAAGAAGCTTGGTCATTCGGGAGGGGCTCAGAGTAGATGTGCTGCTCCTCCACATCAAGAGGAGCCAGTGTAGGCGGCTCAGGCAGCTGGTCAGGACGCCTCCCTGGTGAGTTTTTCCGGGCACGTCCAACCAAGAGGAGACCCCAGGACACGGTGGACGGACTATGTCTCTCGCCTGGCCAGGGAACTTCTTGGGATTCCCCCGGAGGAGCCGGCCCAAGTGGCTGGGGAGAGGGAAGTCTGGGCCTCTCGACGTAGGCTGCTGCCCTCGCGACCCGACTCCGAATAAGTGGAAGAAAATGGGTGGATTTCTTAACTCGCAGAAGGTTTCGGCTTCTCTTGAAGCCTTTATCATGGCCATTGTTCCAACAGATGACAGCCCATGAATAAGGCATCGAGAGAGAAGCCGAAACTGTCGGCAGGTAAAGCTTTCCACCTACATTTCACCTACAGTGCCAATCAGACAAAAACTCTTTATTATTGTTTCGTCACTCAGCTGATAAGATGTTGCTACAGGTTAAGATCTTGAGTGAGTTCATTGGGAAAAGAGGTGTGGGGATTGAGTTTAATCTTTAAAATGTTCTCACATTCATTATTTCTGTCTTTCAGCCTCACCCCTCCTTCTTTTTGCCAACCGACGTGACGTACGATTAGCAGATGCAGGTGGTGTGCGTGGTGAGTCAGCCATTGTCGTTGGTGATCTAGAAGACGCAGCAGCAGTGGACTTCCTGTACGCAGAGGGCCTGATATTTTGGACTGATGTCAGCGAGGAGGCTATCAAACAAACACGCTGGAATCATTCATCCAACTGTAAGTGTGCACGCTACTAGCTCAGTGTCTGTTCCCTGGCTTAAGGAAAGGATCTTTCTCTAACTGATTATCGTGTGCAGCTTCACAAGCTTGAATAAAAAATGCGTCCTCTTTTGTTACTATTTCATTTATGTATGTTTATGTTTACAGCCCTTAAAGAGGCTCTGGGAACCGGCCAGACTGTGGTAGTGTCGGGCCTGAATAGTCCTGATGGGCTAGCCTGTGACTGGTTGGGTAAAAAGCTCTACTGGACAGACTCTGACACTAATCGAATCGAAGTGGCTAACCTCGATGGGACCTTCAGAAAGGTCCTGTTTTGGATGGACTTGGACCAACCCAGGGCTATTGCTCTTAACCCTGGCCAACGGTAACACACACACACACACACACACACACACACACACACACACACACACACACACACACACACACACACACACACACACACACACACACACACACACACACACACACACACACACACATCTATCAGTACTTAAAAACCAAGCAGCTGTTCTGCAAGGATGCCGTTTATTAGCTGTAGACGTTAGAAAACATTCTTTTATATAGCGCCTCTCAAGACAAAATCACTTCACAAAAAATATTTAAATAAAAAAAGATTTCAAACATTTATTTTAAAATATGTTTTAAAAAACTGTGAGAAAAGGGAGAGGGAAAGAGGACAATCAGTGGGTCGCAGGGAAAGGCGGAATAAGAACAGAATAAGGAGGGTGATGAAGGTCCCACCAAAGCCTGAACAGGTGAGTTTAAAGGAGACCACTGAGTCCACTGATCTCAGGCTCAGGGGGAGAGAGTTCCAGAGTCTGGGGGCCACAGCAGCAAATGATCTGTTTGGACTATTTACTATTCTGTTCAGACTATTTTAAAGCACCCTTTTGAAGATTTGCCCACCTTTTAGACTTCAAGGTTGTCTAACTCGTTAAAGGAAACACACAGCAGCTCCACACATTCAGCAGCATGAGCTGAGGAAGCACTACCACAGTAAGGATAACCCTTCTGCACAGTTTTAAGAGCTGTCAACCCCTTAGAACTTCCAGGACTTCATCCTACCACTTCTGAAAATAAACATTATTTACAGGAAACTGAAGTCTGATGTAATGTCATAGTGTTACTGTTCCTTATGTCCTTTCAGATACTTATACTGGACTGACTGGGGAGAGGAGCCCAGGATAGAGCGTGCTGGCATGGATGGCAGTAGCAGGTACTCTGTAGAAGCCCTCAGCTTACAGCAATAAGTGTGGAGCTAGTGCAAATGTTGTTAGTCATGGCCAGTCTTTGTCCTGATACAAAAGCTCTCTGTAGAGGGGACAGCTTTGCTTTGAGTGGTGCACGTCAGGACTTAGATATCTATAAATATCATTATTTGGTTTAGGGCTTTACATCCATATCTTAATATTCAATCATTTTTTCTCTGGGCCAGAGTGGCTTTGATACTTGACACGTTGTCCCTGCTGCTGCCAGCTTTGGATACAAGTGTAAACCTGTGTAAATTTTAATGTAGTTTTAGTCTTAAGCTTGTTACTAACATTCTTTTTATTTTAGTCACTATTTAGTCATCCAATTTGTTTTAGTTTTAGTCTTATTATGCTTTTTGTCTTCTGATGCAATCGTTTTGAACTTGTGTAAAGGAAACGTTAACGACACCTACGTGAAACTGTAAAGAAATATGAAAAATTCACATTTTAGATCAATAAAACTCTGTTTATATTTGTTTTATTAACAACAATTACTGGAAAATACCAAAACGAACACTGACAGTTTGTAATTGTGCCTCTCAATATTAATAAAATAAAAAATCTGTATAATGGGCAGTAATATCTGTAAACATGACAGGAAATTACATCAAAACATAAACATGTAATACTCTAATGATGCGAAGGTGAAATAAAGGTAAGAAATGTTTTCAGATGCGTTTATTAGAGTTGTTATTAGACACTACTACTACTGTTACTGATCATGTCAGCCGCAGTAGCGCCACAAAAATAAAAACGATCATGCAACAAGGCGCGCCGCTCCGTGAGCTCGGTTGGGTTTACTGAGCTCCAGCACTCCCTCTCCCACCCCCGCTCGCTGTTAACAGCACCATAACACTTTTAGAACCAGGGGAAACCCTGGATGTGTTCTTACCAAGCAAATACTTCTCAGTTCGTCACATCTACTGCTTTTACTCCCAGCTGCAGGCATTTTCTCTCTTTAGACATAACTTTTACCAGAATAAACAAATATGTAATGTCTGGTTAGCGGTAGCTTGTTCAAACTGCGGCCAGCTCCGGACTCTGATTGGTTCTTTTCTTGTCTAGTCCCAGCATTTCCATTTGCTGATTGTTTTTCATTTTTGGTCACCCGTCCTTTCTGTTTTCTGATTGGATTTTTGTTGTCTCATAATCATGCTCAGATATGAGTCTTGGTCATACCACTGCTCTTCAATCTCTACATGCTTCCCCTGGGTCAGGTCATATACAATAACAATATTATATCATAGTTATGCAGATGACACCCTGATCTCCCTAGCTTTTTCAGCTACTGACGGTGGTCCCCCAAACTCACTCTGTTTGGAGCAAGTTAAGGATTGGTCCAGTCCAACATCCTCCGGTTAAACAAAGACAAGACTGAAGTTATTGTCCTTGGAAATCAGAAGGATAGGGTGGAGGTTGCTGCTCAACTTGGCTCCAGAGGAGTAAAGACAAAGACCAAAGTTAGAAATCTTGGTGTCATAATTGATTCAGACCTGAGCTTCACTGGTCACATTCATGTGTTCATCTCCAGCAGGCGGGACTATTACAATGATCTTTTGACTGGTCTTCTCTAAATAGCCATGAAGCAACTGCAGCTTGTTCAGAATGCTGCTGCTAGAGTCCTAACAAGAACCAAGAGAACAGAGCATATCACTCCTGTTCTTAGATCCCTACACTGGTTACCAGTAAACTACAGAATCAGCTTCTAAGTGCTCCTACTAGTGTATAAATCACTCAGAGGCAGGGGGCCAGAATACATGTCAGATCTCCTTCAGGTATCTACTCCCAGCAGGGCTCTGAGATCCTTAGGAAACAGTCAGCTGGTAGAACCTCGGGTCAGAACCTGCTTTTAGCTACTATGCTGCTCACAGATGGAACAAATTGTCTCACGACCTCAATCTGCCCCAACTGTAGACACTTTTAAATCTAAATTGAAAGCCTTCATGTTTTCGTCATCCTTTGAATAAATGTTCCGATACTGCACCTTCTCACCCTTTAACTTTAACTTTGTTTCTTTTTTATTTGAAATTGTATTTTCTGTCACATTGATTTTTATGTTCTTGATTGCTAAAGGAATGCACATTGAACTGCCTCTGTATGAAACGGGCCTTATACGTAAAGATGCCTTGCATTATTCTGTCAATATTCATCATAATTTAGTCATTAATGGTGTGTAGGTTTTTGTTTTAGTCCATCAAACTTCATTCATCACAACAAAAAAGTATATATTTAGTCCATGAAATTAACAAATAAATCTACATAAATGGGAAGCAACATCTGTATGAAAATAACAAAAGCATTAAACCAAAGACATGTGCTTCTGGTGTGTGTGTGCACTGACTTTGTGTCTGTCTCCTAACAGGAAGGTGATAGTGAATAAGGACATACACTGGCCTAACGGACTCACCATAGACCTAGTGGAACAGAAGTTGTACTGGGCTGATGCCAAACTCAGCTTCATTCACAGAGCCAACCTGGATGGATCGGCACGGTAAAGACTTGTCATGCACACCTAAAGCTGGACGTGTTGTAACTCTCAGAGGGAGACCATGAAACTCCACAGTCAAACTGCAATGATGACGTAACTTACAAGTAATTTTTCCTCAGTTTATTTTTGCAGCAGCAGTTCATTACAAACATCACATCAGAATACTGTACAAGAGCAGCAATCCCAATTACAATCTCAAATGTGTGTGTGAGAGAGAGAGAGAGAGAGAGAGAGAGAGAGAGAGAGAGAGAGAGAGAGAGAGAGAGAGAGAGAGAGAGAGAGAGAGAGAGAGAGAGAGAGAGAGAGAGAGAGAGAGAGAGAGAGAGAGAGAGAGAGAGAGAGAGAGAGAGAGAGAGAGAGAGAGAGAGAGAGAGAGAGAGAGAGAGAGAGAGAAGAGAGAGAGAGAGAGAGAGAGAGAGAGAGAGAGAGAGAGAGAGAGAGAGAGAGAGAGAGAGATGTTGGTAGGACCCAAAATGCAGTACCCAGGGTGACACGAGGCAGATATGAAGAAGTAAATTAGAGTGTTAATTCATTAAGGTTCACTCACTTGGGTCTTGGGCAGGGATTCTTTTAGTTCTGGTACAGTAAAGCCTCTAGTACAGGTTAGTGATGAGATGATGAAGCAAAGTGTCTCCTAGTTAAAGCCTTTTCTTTCATTTCAGATTGGGCCATCTTGTAACTGCTTGGCTACACAGACATTTACTGCAGTCCTATGAAAAGTTGCTAATTCTGCATAGCATCATCGTTACTTCTGACTTCTACTGCTCATCTTATTGAAATGAAACAAAGGTCCATCACACTTTCACCCAGTTGAAACAGATAGGGAAAAGTATTAATCCAAGTACCAAAACCTGAGGAACTCCTTGGCTAATGTTGGTTTTCCAACAGCCCTACTCAGAATAACTAAATCATTTCATCAGTAACGGATCCGTGTTTGCGTCGACATTTCAGTAACTTAGGGACAGCTGTAGCTCAGGAGGTAGGGCAGGTTGTCCAATAATAGGAAGGTTGCAGGTTCAATCCCGGATCCCACAAGAGATTGCTGCTGTTGTGTCCTTGGGCAAGACACCTAACCGGCCTTGCCTGCTGGTGGTGGTCGGAGTGACCAGTGACACCAGTGCATGGCCTGTCTCGCCTCTGTCAGCTGTGGCTACATTGTAGCTCATCCCCACCAGAGTGTGAATGGGTGGATGACTGATTGTGTTGTGAGGCGCCTTGGGGGGTTGTAGAACCTTAAGAAGACACTATACAATTATGGGCCATTTACCATTTATTGCTTTGATGTGGTTCCAAGTCTACCGAACTGAGCCAATGACAGAACCGCCAATGACAGCCTTTCAACAATCGGCCTGGGAGGTTGAGTCACGTGGTGTTCCAGAGTCCTGCCTTCGCACTGCCTGCAGTCTTTTCCAGGTTTAAAGCCATCGAGTTACTGATTACCTTGTGCTTGTGAGTGCCTTGCTATGACGAGGGCACCCAACAGTCTCTCAGTTGTCACACAAAAACCCACACCATGGAGATTGACTCAAGTTGAGTTGCGTTCAGTAAGGAAAGGCAGCGATACTCTGGAGGGATAGAAGTGTTCATTAGTAACCAGAACAAACTGGAACTGGTTTGTGCAGCTTGTGTTTGTGGTGAATTAGTGTTTTTTTTTTTTTTTTTTTTTTTTTTTCTGTTTTCTAAGAGCCACGTTCCTTATCCTGGCTGTTTTCCTGATGCCAGTTTATTTTATTCAAGCATAATCCCAATTACATGCAGGGTGTAATTGCACAATGAACAATTGGATCAATTTACAATAGAAAATCTTTGATGACAAGAAGGTGTTTGTTTTTATATCTCTAGTTTTTTTATCTAACTGAAAGGAATCCAGCCATTTCCTTACTTTGGTTTTCACCTTGCAGAGAAGCGGTGGTGGAGGGCACCCTGACTCATCCCTTTGCGCTAACGCTGTCTGAGGAGACGTTGTACTGGACCGACTGGCAGACCCGCTCCATCCATGCCTGTAACAAACACAGCGGAGACAAAAGCAGAGAGATTCTCGGTGGGATTTACTCTCCCATGGACATCCAGGTTCTGGAGCTCTACCGACAGCCTTACAGTATGTGGAATATTTACCTGCATGTATGCACACTTAAGCTAGCTCTGCAACCCTTAAAGCATTTGTATAAATATAAGATAAAAACATTATCTCTGTTATAACAATGAGTCTTGGAACCGAAGTAAGAAAATTAAATCTTTAATGCCTAAAATTCTTGAACTGTCCCTCTTAGGAGTTGAGTCTGTGTTGTGCTTAGAATAAGTCATGCAGTACAAGTAGTTAAAGGGACTTTACGGAGTTTTGAATTTTTATGCTCGCTATTGCCCCCTCAGGCCAAAAGCGTAACGGCAGCTTCAATAGTAGGCTCGTGCACGAGGCGCGCATGCTGTACGTGCACACTCCTTAACAAAAATAACAGCTGAGACAGTCCCTTGTGTGTGTGTGTGTGTGTGTGTGTGTGTGTGTGTGTGTGTGTGTGTGTGTGTGTGTGTGTGTGTGTGTGTGTGTGTGTGTGTGTGTGTGTGTGTGTGTGGCTCGGAGGACAGAGGACAGGAGAACGTGCAGCTAATTAATTAAATAATTTGGTTCTGTACCTTTCTCTTCAGCACAGCCGACAAAGGTTTAAGATGGGTCAGTCCTCCTGCATGCTCAGATCATTCCCTTCCCTTGCTTGAAAAGTTGTTCCAAAATGGAAGTTGAACCCACATCTTTTTTATCTGTGAATTCAATGCCGTTCGGCGAGTCTCAAATAAATTTTGGGCATCTTACTGTAAAAAAATATACCATTAATGTAAAAAAGAAATTCTAAAGCAACTGTATTCACATCCAGAATCGAACCCGGGTCTTTTGCATGAAAGCTCAAAGTTTTGATAGGCGAGCTAAAGCGCCAGTGGTGTCTCTTATCTCTGTAACATTTATAACCTTAATGATAGTTGAAACAACGTTCAAAGAACGGTTCGGAGGGCTATGCCTGAGCGTGAACGCGCATATAGCAGCCTGCTCGACCCGAGCAGCTCTCTTTTTCTGTGATTTTACAGAAAAACAGACAATCACAGTAAAAATGCCAGGGCTCATTCTACAGGACCAGGTCATTGCAGGAGAATGTATGAAGAAGAAATTTATTATTTCTATACATGTTTTGGCTGTCAAACTTCCATAATGCCCCTTTAATGTTATTTTTGCACTTTTCCTTCTCTGAGTGGTCGTTTTGTTTGTCATGACAGTCCAGACGCCCTGCAGTGAAAATAACGGAGGCTGCAGTCACCTGTGTCTCCTCTCACCTGTTCAGCCCTTCTACAGCTGTGCCTGTCCCACAGGAGTCCAACTCAAAGCAGACAGAAAGACCTGCAAACCAGGTATGAGTCCTGTTGAATAACTGATCTGGTGTTTCTATCTCAACTCTCAATTTCAGAGTTCAGTACTTCAGTTATTCATTATTTAGGGAGGATATTATTGGACATTTTACCAGGTAAAAGCAGCAGATTAAACATGACATAAAGGCAAATAAAAAAAATAATATTTTTAATTCAACAGATTTAGTTGTGTTGGTAGTTTTTTTTCTTTATAAACATCATTCACCAGTTTTTCTAAGATTGCACCTGTCTGTGGACTGTTGGTGAGAAAATGTTTACAGGAAGTTGTTAGTTTCTAAGTCCAAGGTGGGAAGGACAGTCAGCATGTGTGCTTTTTGTTCTTTGATAAGTGTTGAGATGAGTTTCCAGCTGTGAAACCAGTAAAACCATGTTTGTAGAGGAAGAGTGGAACACCAAATGACCACCTGCCATGTTGATTCCCACGATACTGAGACAATAGAGCTCCAGTCTGTGCAAACACAGCGCTGTTGAGGTTTGTGTGTATCTAAGGCTGTGCAATATGCACATATTAAACTGAGAGAAACATGCCAACCAATGGCATGGCTAGTGCTGACAATAAAACAACAATGCTCCATTGTGTCTCCCTGCAGTTTGTGAGGCTCTTAATTTGTTTTGCTTGGCTGGTTAAATAGAATAGTTAACTTGCTGCTGGCAGTAGAACGTACGTGTTTGTGTGTGCCCATGTGTGTTTGATTATCTGTTATTGGTCTTCAAGTGTCTAAATGAAATTAAGTACAGCTGCTTGCCATCTTCTCTGTGTTATCTGCCCATGATGTGTCTGACAGTGCCTCAATCATTCAAGTGTTAAAGACGGCAGGTCCTTCATGGCTCTGTGAAAGTTCAGCTTCAACAACAAGTCTTGTGCACCACTGATCATAGCATGTACTTAACCTAGTATACCATAGAAACAGATGCAAATGCATCATTAAAATGTTATTAACCTGTTAAAGCCTGATACATGAAACTACATTACAAATTAAAGTTTTGAAACTGGACTGTTTATTGGATAATGTTTTTAAAACAAACAGCTGTTCATTATTGTAATTTTATAACAGTAGAAAAATAAATCTGGCCCTCACCACCTCTCTAAAACCAGACTGAAATTCCTCAAACAGAGCATTAGTGTTTAAATGCTGACATACTTGGATGGCCACTATTTTCTCCAGGACTTTGGATAAAAATGGAAGGTTAGATATTGGTCTATAATTCATTGGGTCATCTGGATCCAGAGAAGGCTTCTTAAGTGAACGTTTGATTACAGCAACCTTAAAATCCTGTGGTACATACCCATTTACTAAGGATAGATTGATTATATCTAGAATGGGGGCAGTAACCAAAGGAAATGCTTCTTTAAATAATTTGGTTGGGATTGGATCCAAAATGCAAGTTGAAGGTTTAGATGAAGCTAATATTTTTGATAACTCTGAAAGCTCAACTGGATCAAAACGGTTCAAGCACAGATGAGGTTCTACAGTCACCTCTGATGCTGCCTCACTTACTGAGGAAGAAGAAATCGCATTGGGGAGGATGCTAAAGATTTTGTTTCTAATAGAATTAATTTTACTTGTAAAAAGTCCCATGGAGTCATTGCTGCTGAGGGCTAAGGGAATAGATGGCTCAGAGCTATGATTCTGTGTAAGTTTAGCAACTGCACTGAAAAGAAATTTAGGATTATGCTTATTCTCCTCAATTAATGCTGAGAAATAAGCAGTTCTAGTTTGTCGAAGCTTATTTTTATAAAGCACAAGACTATTTTTCCAGGATCAGTAGGACTCCTCATGGTGCATAGAGCGCCATGTTCTTTCCAATTTCCTAGAGTTTTGTTTTAAGGCTCGTAAATGAGAATTAAACCAGGGAGCCAACTTCCTGTCCCTAATTACCTTCTTTTTTAAAGGGGCGACATCATCTAATGCCACACGTAAAGAGGAATTAACATGATGAACTATGGCGTCAATTTGTGAGGGGCTAGAACTGAAAATATTGCCCTCTGCTACATGCCTCTGAGATGCTGAGGACAGTAAAGATGGAACAGTTGATTTAAAAGATGCAACTGCGTTGTCAGATAGAGACCGACTATAATGAAATTTACTTTCATGTCTCGAGAACTCAGTTATAAAAAACTCAAAGGTTATCAGAAAGTGGTCCGAGAGGACTGGATTATGCGGAAAGATTGTTATTTCCTCACACTCTATGCCATAAGTCAGCACAAGGTCTAATGTATGATGGCAGGAGTGGGTGGAGCTATGTTCTCTTTGAATAAAATCAAATGAGTCTAAGATATTACTTAAGGCTACATTGAGGCAATCATTTTCAATGTCCACATGAATGTTGAAATCCCTCACTACAATGACCTTATCAGTATTTAGCACCAAATCAGATAAAAAATAGAGATCTGATCCAAAAACTCAGAGTAAGGGCTGGTGGACGATATAAAACTACAAACAAGAGTGGTTTTACAGTTTTGCAATCTGGATTAGGAAATCTAAGAATAAGATGTTCGAACAAACTGTAGCTATTAATCTGTAAGGGACTGATTAATAAGTCCGAATGAAAAATGGTTGCTACTCCTCCTCCTCGCCCTGTACTTCAAGCAATATGATGATTTAAATAATTTGAAGGAGTCGACTCGTTTAAGCTAACATTGCTGCAGCCAGGATTCTGTGAGAGAGAGCAAAGAGATCTGTTTATCACAAATCAAGTCATTAACTAACAAAGTCTTAGAAAAAATGGATCTAATGTTCAACAACCCACATTTAATTTTTCTAGTTTTCTGCTCAGTTGAATTTGTTCTAATATTTATGAGATTTCCATGATTTGCTTTATTAAGCCTGATATTTAATCTGTGTGATTTTGGTCGTGGGCAGGACACCGTCTCTATGGGGTAGTGGGTGGGTAACAGTACAGAAGCTGCAGAGGGGTGTGTTAAACTACGACTCTGCTTCCTGGTCTGGACCCTGGGTAGTCATGGAGGACTAATAAAACTGGCCATGTTCCTAGAAAGAAGAGCTGCACCATTCAAAGAGGGATGGATGCCGTCTCTCCGCATCAGACCAGGTTTTCCCCAAAAAGTTTTCCAATTATCAATGTAGCCCACGTTGTTTTCAGGACACCACCTAGACAACCAGCGGTTGAAGGACAGCATGCGGCTAAACATGTTGTCACTGGTCCGATCAGGCAGGGGGCCAGAGAAAATTACGGAGTCCAACATTGTTTTGGCAAACTTGCACACCGAAGCAACATTAATTTTAGTGACCTCCGATTGGCGTAACCGGGTGTCGTTACCGCCAGCGTGAATAACAATCTTACTGTATTTACACTTATCCTTAGCCAGCAGTTTCAGATAAGATTTAATGTCGCCCGCTCTGGCCCCAGGTAAACATTTAACTATGGTTGCTGGAGCCTCTAATGCCACGTTTCTGACTATGGAGCTGCCAATGATCAGAGTCGGCTTGTCAGTGGGTGCGTCACTGAGCGGGGAAAATCTATTAGAAACGTGGACGGGTTGGTGGTGGCCCACGGGCTGGGTTCTATGCTTCCTGCATACCGTCACCCAGCCGGCCTGAGGTCCCGGCTGTTCGGGTTCTGCTGGAGGATCGCTACGGGGTGGTTCTGAGCTAGTCAGCCCCGCGCTAGCGAAGTAGCTACTGCTGTTTACGGGTTTTTCAACAGCGCGGAGCCGGGACTCCAATTCCGACACCCTTGCCTCCAAAGCTACAAAAATGCTACAGTTATTACACTTACCATTATCGCTAAAGGAGGCAGAGGAGTAACTAATCATCTGACACAGAGAGCAAGAGATAGGAGACGGAGAAGCAGAGACAGAAGTAGCCATAGCCGTGCTGAGGCTAAGCTAACTGGACGAGCAAACTGTTCAACACCAAATAAACTGCATGCAAACTCAAATGGTTCCCTAAAAGCTAGGTGGAACAACAGAAAATGTGTGTTTTAACGTGCTTATGTGCTACAATAACTCAGAGATATCCTAGTACAGAGAAATTAAATCAGTTTTAGCGAGCCCCAAACACCAAACAGCTACACGTAGTGCAACACTGAAAACAGGAAACGCCTTACCGCCAGGTGCAGCCAATCAGCCCATTTTAAATCTTGAAGTGTCCTTCATCTCGACTTAGCTGGGGAAGTTTGACCTTTGGGTCACAAATGAGGCCATTCATGTCGCTACACAAGTTACAAATCAAGAGTTACACACACACACACAAATCTAGAGAGACACACACACATCTTTTGAGACTTTTTTCTCACCATAGATCGGCCACCACAGGGACCAGACCTTAACTCTATTGAGAATCTTTGGGATGTGCTAGAGAAGTCTTTGCAAGATGTTGGTGAAACATTAATGCAACGCTGGGTGGAAATAAATCTGGTGACATTGCAGAAGCTTATTGAAACAACTCTACAGAGTATGTGTGTCGCAATCAAAGATAACATGTTAGTGTGTGTGACCTTTTTTGGGTGGCAACTGTTTTGGCCAGGCAGTGTGTTTTATTAAAACAGAAAACTGAAAAGTGAGATGCTCCACTGTGCAGAGCAACCCTTCTGTAGGGAGCGTCGGGTCAGCAGAGGATCAGTTTAGCACTCCTCTTCAGTCTGTGTGAATGAGTCCTCACTGCAGATGTCACAAACACTGAAATACCCTCAAAACACACAAGTTCCAAAAAGTCCAAAATCCAAAGCTGTGATCTATATTCAACCTGGGTCATAAACAGGAATTCCATAGGGGAGGTATAAATCAGGAGCTGGGAAAGCAGAGCAAAGGCCGAAGTCCACAGATCAGATGGGCAGAAAAGATACATCAAGGGCCTAGCAGAGCAGGAAAACCCGGGGCTTAAATGTGGTAGTAGACTGGAATCAAATCAGTAAAAGAATGTTGCAGGGAGGCGGCAACTGAAGCTATAAATAGTGCGGTGTGCAGGTGATGCAGATGCAGGCATGACACAGGTGTGTGTGCGTGTGTGTGTGTGTGCGTGTGTGTGTGTGTGTGTGCGTTTGGGGGTGGGGGTGGGGCGTTACTGATAAAGCAGGGAGAACCATGACACAAATAAAATAACAACAGAGGTGGGCAAAAAAGGCAGGAATGATTTACTGGATTTGTTGGGAGCAGGGGTGGTTGTGGTTTCTGAAAGGACCTAGGATAACGCTCCTTCATGCACTCAGGATGCTGCAGTCAGCCTCTCAAGGAGCTCTCCGGCTCTACATCAGCTTCGTACATGGGGTGGGAGACATCTAACAATGATGCTGTTTTTACTATCCCAGGGATGTTGATGGTTCATCCTAAAGATCCACACAAGTGTTATCACTGGTAAAATGTCTGTGTGTGCTTTAGGGGCAGAGGAGGTTTTGTTGCTGGCTCGCCGGACAGACCTGAGGAGAATCTCACTTGATTTGCCAGATTTCACTGACATACTATTGGAGGTAAACACACACACACACACACACACATACGCGCGCACACACACGCACACACTCACACACATGCGTACACACACTCACACACACACATGCACCGACACACACACACACACACACACACACACACACACACACACACACACACACACACACACACGCTTACACTCACACACACACACACACACACACACACACACACACACACACACACACACACACACACACACACACACAATATTTTTATTCCTGTCTAAACTTGACCTAGTCTGTTCCTTTACTCATACAGGTTAATGACATCCGCCATGCCATTGCAATTGACTACGACCCAGTTGAAGGTCTTGTGTACTGGACAGATGATGAAGTTCAGGCTATCCGGCGTTCCCACATTGATGGAAGGAATGCCGTGGTGCTGGTCTCCACAGAACTCAAACACCCAGATGGGATTGCTGTTGACTGGGTGGCCAGAAACCTGTACTGGACAGACACTGGCACTGATCGGATTGAGGTACAGACTGTCATGTCAGTAACTGAACAGAGAAAAGAGCCACTGTTCATTAGAATAGTATAAAAAAGTGTTTGTCTGAACTCTAAAAGCACTGACTTTCACCATAATGATGTCACCTTATGTAATAGGTCACCAGGCTAAATGGAACGTCTCGTAAGATTCTGATTTCTGAGAACCTGGATGAGCCCAGAGCTATAGTGCTGGATCCTGTGAATGGGTATGGTTTCTGTGTCTTTGAACACATACAATGCCACAGCTGTCACTCTGACATGTTTCTGAGAATGTGTTTTTTATCCTGCTTGGTTGAGTTTCCAAACTCAAAAACACTTATTACAGTTCAGACTCGAGCGACCTTCAGGGATGAGCTTTAGTGTCTTGTTGCTAGGTGCAGGCGTTACCTTTTGTAGAAATGGAATTAATGGTTTCATAATTAAAAAATGCTCACTTGCATCACTAATAGATAGTTGTGGTTAACAGAATCTCTAAAATTGAGAATTCTACTTTCTTTTTGATTCATCATCCACACAGTTACATGTACTGGACCGACTGGGGTGAGCATCCCAAGATCGAGCGTGCAAACCTGGATGGAACCGACAGGGTGGTCCTTCTCAACACCTCACTGGGCTGGCCCAATGGGCTAGCTCTGGACAACGCTGCAGGGAAACTTTACTGGGGTGACGCTAAAACCGACAAGATAGAGGTACGCCTTTCGCCATTCTGTGTAAAGTCAGAGTTTGGCTTCTTTGAGCTGCTTCATTTCTATTTTGTTCATCAACTGCAGGTGGCTGACGTAAAAGCAAAGGTTACTGGGAGTTGGTTCAACTCAGTGCAGAACAGATGGGGGGATAGGCTGTTTGGTTCAGTCTGAACCGATAAACCTGTTTCAGAAGTTGTTTAGTCTCTGCATGTCAGGTAGATTGTGTATTTAATGTACAAAAGCATGTATTTAGACCAGGCAATTTTGTCTCCTTCACTGGACAAAAGCATCTTTTTATTTCTGTCTGTGCACCTAAGCCCTGTGTGGGACAGTTTCTTTCCTAATCCCTCTCCAGCCTGCTCCAGCTGAATTTCTGACCATTATCACCCACTGTCTATCCCTTTCAGTGCTTCCCACTCCTGCAGTTTCTGAACCCAGTCTCACCCTTCCTGCCACCCAACATCATTTATTAGGCCCGAGCAGCGAAGCGCTGCGAAGGCCTATTGTATCTGCTCCGTTTCTTTTTCTTTTTTTTTCTTTTTTTTTCTTCCGCGTCTTTGGATGGCCTTTAGGGGGTCTTAGCATATCCAAAAACTCACCAAATTCTGGCCCAATATAGAAAGTGCGTGAAATTTACATATTTCACTGGCAACGTGAAAGTTGGTAAAAAAATGTTTCGACAGCGCCCCCTGGAAAATTTAAAATACCCCTCCGCTTTGACCTTTTTTCATAGTAGAGTGATGAAATTTGGTACACTTGTAGAACTCAACAATACGCACAGAAAAGCCTCTCGCACCCATGGTCAAAATCAAACAGGAAGTCAGCCATTTTGGACTAAAGTGGCCATTTTGACCCCGTTTTGGCCATTTCTAGGGTCTATATTTGGTTGAACAGTTTGGTCATTTTTCGCACGGTGGTCTCAAAAATAGTGTGCGATCGAACAGAAGCGATGGACGATTAAAATGAGACAATAAAATTGACTTTTCGTAAATACTGAAGGGGCGGGACCAGGCCTCAAAGTTCGAGCACTCGCCAAAAAAATTCAAATTGCTATAATTTCATAAATGAAAGAATTACAGTTAAAGAAATGTTCTTTGGACAATCGTCATCGCCCTACGAAGACAAATGAATGGTCGATTGATGATGTCACATAAGCCCCGCCCCCTCAGGACTTAAAAGGTCAAGTTTTACTGGGAAATTTTCCAAAATTCGCCCTTTCAAATAATCAACCCAAATTTGTAGCAGGTAACTGAAGACAAGTTGGGGTTGCTTGGCGTCACTTTATGGGGGTTTTCTCCAGAAGGCGGGGCTGTGGCGGCGCGGCGAAGTCAGGTGTACCGACGTGGCCTTACGTTTGCCTCCCATTTTGTCATTTCTAGAGATATCGCCACAAAACTTCTTGGGAGTGATCCAAGTCCAGCCCCCCAAAAAATGTGATGTGAACATCCGGTGGGCGTGGCCTATTTTCTGAAATAGCGCCCCCTAGGACCATTAAAACTGCCAGCCCCAAGCCATGCTTTGACTGAGGAGTACAAAATTTGGTACACTAATGTGGTGTCTCAGGACCTACAAAAAAGTCTCTTGTGGCCAAGTGCAAAGTCGCACAGGAAGTCGGCCATTTTGGTCCAAGTACTCGATTTAGTGGTTTTCGCACACGTTGTTTGGAGAGTGATGCTCCGTCGCCCTTTTCACCAATTGTCTTCAAGCTTCTGCTATATACTCTTAAGACATAGATGAAAAAATTCAACCGTCGGATTTTAAATAAGTATAAAGGATTGGGCGTGGCTAAGCCTCAAACTTTGACCTGTCGCCACACCACTCTTTTTTTCACAGCTCCCTATTGGACTCCTTTTACCCAATCACCAGCAATCTCTGGCAAATAGCAGCTGACAAGTTGAGGTCACTTGGTCTCCAGTACTGGCAGGTTTCGAAAAAAGGCAGGGCTTTGGGAGCATGGCGAAATTCGCCATCACGCCATGGCTATACGTTTGCCTCTCATTTCTTCAATTATCGTGACATCGCCACAAAATGTCTGGTGAGTGATCCGAGTCTGACCCCCAATAGAACTGGACAGCTGAAGTTTGTGGGCGTGGCCTATTTTCTGAAATAGTGCCCCCTAGGACCATTAAAACTGTCAGCCCCAAGCCATGCTTTGACTGAGGATCACGAAATTTGGTACACTAATGTAGTGTCTCAGGACCTACAAAGAAGTCTCTTGGAGCCAAGCGCAAAGTCGCACAGGAGGTCGGCCATTTTGGTCCAAGTACTTGATTTAGTGGTTTTCGCACATGTTGTTTGGACCTTGATGCCCCGTCGCCCTTTTCACCGATCACCTTCAAACATCTGCTATGTACTCTTAAGACAAAGGGGAAAAAATTCAACCGTCGGATTTTAAATAAGTATAAAGGTGTGGGCGTGGCTAAGCCTCAAATTTTGACCTTTCGCCATTACATTACTTGACTTAACTCCCATGTGCATGATCAGATCGTATATCAAACGTTGTCTGTGTGATCACTGACCACATCTGAAGACAATGATAATGTGGACAGCTGACATCACCTAAGCCCCGCCCCCTGACTATTGGAAGTCCATTGATTTTTGGTGAAATGCCCATATTTGTCCCCTTTAATTTAGTCAACATGACACTAAGGTCATGCACTGTCTTCATGATGTTGTAATGACCATTCAGATCTGATAGCTTTCCAGATAGGGAGGGACTTTGATGCCATGGCGAATTCTGGCGTGACGCCATGACCTTACGTTTGACTGTAACTTCCACAAACAGCCTCCAATCTGCCCGAGACTGAACATTGCAATGAACAATCATGCCCTTTAGCCAACGAGGCACAAACGGTTGGAGAATGTTGTGTAATATCACCACAGCGCCCCCTACATACCTTTAAAACTGTAACAACTCCTACAGAAGAGGTCGTAATTGCATCAAACTTGCCATATGTTATCACACAAAGGAACCCAACACAATCATGTGGTAATTGGTAGATATAGCTTTAGCTCCGCCCCTTGACAGATATTAGGCCCTGAATAACACATGCATGATGCAATTCACACCAAACTGCACACAAATGACTCTTATCAACCTAGAAACTTCTTCATGGAATATTTCCTAAATTTGGAACAGCACCCCCTAGATACAATAAAACCTTTGTTACTTCTGCAAAAAAGCTCCAAACTATATTAAACTTGATGGGAGTCATCACACAACTGCAATCAACACATGTATGTGCTCACTTTTTCAAATCACTTTAACTCTGCCCACTTGCAGCCTTTTGTCTCTAGATGACACATGCAACAATTGATTGGTACCAAATTAACAGGAAACCATCTTTGATGACCAAATATACCTCTATGGGATTTAGTTGTAAATGGTCACAGCACCCCTAGATAGGTTCAAACTTTATTAACTTCTAAAGACAAAGTCAGAATGGCAATATACTTGGCTTGTGACATCACATGACTGCACCAAACACATTGATGTGGTTGTTGGTTTTAATCCCTGTAGCTCTGCCCCTTTCAGCTCACTGGTTCTAGAAAGAACACACAGTGTCTGATTGATGTCAAAATAACAGAAAACCATCTTTGTCAACCAAAGCTGACCTCAATGGGTCACAACGCACTCTAGATAAATTTGACCTACGATAACTTAAAAAAACGTGGTCAGAAAAGCATTAAAGTTTGTCTCTGTTATCACACCACCAGTGTGGTAAATATAGAGTATGCCCTAGTGGTGAGACGTGTAATATAATGGTGGGCTCAAAGGGGATGCTGAGTCAGGGTGAGGTGCGGATGAGGTGACCGTTAGCAGTTTCTGGTGTCGGGGTGGTTGACGTTTCTGTTTCGCAGACGTAGCCTGGTGCCCCGGGCTGCCGGCCAGGCCGGAGCGGCGCGGAGCTGCGAGGGCCGAACGACGCTGCTTGCAGCTTTAATTTGACTTACTGCTGCTCCTACTATGATATCACAAGTACATTTCTTGGCTCCTCTACCCTTTTCTGTTGCTGGTGTGTGTCCTATCTGACATTCCAGCACTAGTGTCACTCTTCTTCCCAAAAGCCAAAGGCACAGGTCAAAACAATGTATGTGTCTCTTTCATGTGTCAGCCTCCTGTTAGCTCAGTTTTTACTGGTGAATTTTCTTGTCAGTGGCGATTCAAAATGCTGTGAGAAGTCGAAGGCTCAGGAAAAAGGAGGTCTCCAGGATGGGAAAACCTCCTCCTGCGCTCCACATTTGCTTGAATCGCAGGTGTTTTTTAACTTCTCATAGTTTCTCCAACTGCTCCTTTGCCTTTTCTCTCCATCTCAGCAGATCCTAATAGATAACATTACATTCATCCTACGTAGCTCTATACTCCGGAGTAGAGTCAGGTGAACTGCTGACCTACGTGATTCTACTGGACCACGGTGGTTAAGAAAAAAAACTCATTGTGCTAATGCGGACTTAACTTTGAATGTTATTTTTGCTAAATGCAGGTAGAACCAATGTAAATGAGTTGTATTCAGCTCGACACAGTGTTGAATCAGGCCACTGATATAGATTACGAGTTTTATGGGATGGCCAGAACATTTTGTGAATTTAAGAAAAATTGTTGGAACACGGGTCCTGACTGTTGTTTGTGTTTATGTACCAAATAGCAGTTTAGAGTACCCACCCTTTTGGAGTCCCTGGGACGAGTACTAGATGGTGCTCGTACTGGGGACTCCATAGTCCTGCTGGGGGACTTCAATGCTCACGTTGGCAATGGTAGCGTGACCTGGAGTAGCGTGATTGAGAGGAACGGCCCACCCAATCTAAACTTGAGTGGTGTTCTGGTGTTATTGGACTTCTGCACAAGTCGCAGTTTGGCCGTAACAAACGCCATGTTCAAACACAGGTAGGCCCATCGGTATACCTGGTACCAGGGCAGCCTAGATTACAGGTCAGTGATTGACTTTGTAGTTGTATCGTCGGACCTGAGACCGTATGTTTTGGACACTCGAGTAAAGAAAGGA